CAGGGGTGGTGGAGATGGGGTCCCAGGCGGCAGTCCTTACAGAGTAGCTGTGAACACGGTTGGCACAGGAAGCAGAGGGCTTCGCCTGGGTGCTGGGGACACTGGGATGCCTGGCAGTCTGGAGCCTCCTCATCATACCACCCGGCTCTGTAACCCACCCAGTCTACTACCCGGTGCTTGTGGGTCTGGCGGGCGCAGCGATGCCCATCGGCACAGGCCTGGCACAGGTCATCTGCACAGTCCAGGCATCGGGCTGTGGCGGGGCCCCCAGAGCTCTTGCCTCCCACCAGCGGGCACAGCGCGCAGGTCGGCTTCCCCGAATGCGCGTCTCCAGGAGCCCTGGCCTTGACAAGGTCCAAGAGCCCATTGACGAAGAAGTTGGTCTTGAAGGCAGCCACACCCTCAGGCGGCACAGGCACAGTCTCCCGACACTCGGGGCAGCGGGCCTGGCCCCCGTTGTCCAGCTGAGCCAGACAGTCCTGGCAATAGGTGTGTAGGCATGGCAGTGTCTTGGGCGTGCGTAACTGCTCCAGGCAGATTTTACAGGCTAGGAAATCGCTGCTCAGAGCCTCGAGCAGAGTAGGGGAGGAGACATTGGAGACCATACTATAAGGAAAGGGTCAGAGGTCAGAGGTCAGAGGCACCTGACCACGCCCCTGTCTCGGTTTCCTCCGCCCCCTTCAGCCTGGCCCCTCCCCTACTCTTTGCAGGTGTCCCCACTCACCTGGACTGCGGGAAATTCTGGCTTCTGGGAGGCACTAGATACTAAGGGAAGGTGGTCTTTCTTCCTCTTTACAGACACCAAATGTAAACATGCAAAAGGCGTTGTTAGTGATGAGCCAGTCTGTGGGGAAAATGAGACCAGGAAGCCCCCAGGCCTCAGAGATGGAGTAATCTAGTTATTAACCTACCAGGTCATGGACCAAAGGTAAGGGTAGCCAAAGCCCTTCCGGTTTCCGTAGCCCAGACTGGCCTCAAACTTGCTATGTAACGTAAAATGACCTTGAACTTCTGAACTTCCTGCTTATGTGTCCTGAGCCCTAGGATTACAGGTGTGCGCAGTGTATCAGTTTATGTAGCACCGGTATGGAATTTAGGGCTTCTGGCCTGCTACACTCCCAGGTTCTGGCCTGAGCCCATGCTCCTCCTGCCTCAGTCTCCTGAGTGCTGAAGTCACAGACACCCATCACCCATTTATCGTGATATGGGGCCCTGTTATGAGTGGATACTAGGGCTCAAGGGACAGCCAGTGAGGACACACACAGGGTCAGGCACACAGAAACACCCGGCTTTTCGATGTTGGGGCAGGGTCCTACAGTCTTAGTTTCCTTTGTCTGACCATCTGTCTGGGAGTCTGTCCTGGGAGGGTGGGGGCCCTACTTCCATCACCAACTATTTTTTGAAAGTAATTTCAGAACAAGAGGAAGGTTCAAGGGGAAAGTTCACCTCCTTCCTTCTACTGCACCTCAGGGTCATAGAGATCTGGCCTTGCCCCCTGGAGTCTTCTAATTTAACCCTTTCCTACCAAATGCATTCTAGGAACTTCTGGAGGGAAGGCATTGCAAGTCCCCAGCACGGTGGGGACTGCATAAAAAAACGCCAGTGGAATCCTAGTCCTGGGGAGGAGGAGGAGGAGGCTAGCCTTGGTTACAAAGTGAGTTTCAGGGCAGCCTAGGCTACAGTTAGTGAGTTCTGGCTGAGCCTGAGCCACAGAGCGAGACCCAGCCTTAAAAAAGAGAGAGAGTGAGAAGTAAATACAGACTGATTGATTGATTGATTGCACTTTCCCTTTCCCCCAGGGTTGGGAGGGGAAGCTGGGAGGGTGGGGTGCGGTTGGTGGGTGGGGTGGGGGGGTGGGGCTCAGGGAGGGGGGTCGAGGGGCAGGGCCTGCCACCTGGCTGGTCCCCTCCCGGCCTTCCAGGTCCCCCTGCCCTTTCTCCCCTCCCTTCCTTTTCCTCTCCCGGGCTTTCTCACTTCCCTCCCCTTCCCTCTCTCTCCTCCCCCAGCCTCGTCTTTCTGTGTCCCGGCTCTTCCCC